ASACAAAACAATTCCTCTCTGAGCCTGAATCCAAGGACACCTCGCTGCCTTAGAGCCCCAAAATAAGTAAACAACAGCAAGTTGAGGGGGAGCAAGTTTGGGGTGATTGACATCATCACCTGAAAGTATAATTGGGAATTGGGGCCCAATATGTTAATAAAACAGAACTTGTAAAAGGGGAAGATCTCATGACTCGGTGTCCATTTTTGGGTGTAGCCTCAGGAGGAGGAAGATTTTGTCTAYCCTTAATGTACCAGTAGGCCTGTTAAGCCTGTATTAAAGCTGTTTATTCTCATTCTCTTAAGTTTGTCTGGCCTCTGTTTCAGGTGAGYCTGATTTTTAGGCAACACCATCAGCTGGGTACAAGTCCACAGTTTGTCTTTCTTAATTTTGGTGGATCACATTAGTAAGTCATCCACCCTTTCTTCACTTGGATATTCTGCCTGTTTGCCCTTATTACTCAAAGCTGGGAATTCTTTACTGTGCCATTTGACATCTCCACCTTCCAACATTTCTCTTGTGTCTCTTTTTTTTGGTGGCTTGAAAACTTTTGTGTCCAGGCTTCTGAATGGAAGTAAGATAAAAATAGGTTCCCTTGAGCAAGAAACCTACTTATCCTAGTAGATCACTGTTTGTGGGGGAAAAAAGTGGCCCCACAAGCCCTGAATCTGAAACTCAGCCAATTATTGTGTATGACTGAGTCCTGGGAAGAGAAAGGGAATGTGTACAACCTACATGGAGGAGGAATGCCGCATCCTTGGCTACTGTTGAGAAAAGGAGATTGGAATGTAGAATTGATAACRCAGGTGGCTAGAAATTATAAACATTACTAATACTGTAGCTTTTGCAAACTCACCAATTATATTCTGATTACTAATTAAACAGCTGTCTCTTAACCAATATATGTTTAACACAAATGTATACTCTGGTTGCTAAAGTGGATAAAAGAGGCTTGTCCCACAATAAAGTCCTTCTTTCTCTCTGTTTTTTTCACCCACTTTTGTGTGTTCGTCTATTATTTTGTGTCGCTGTTTAGCCAGCAGTGACAACTGTTCTCTTCTATCCATCTACAAATTTCCCTGTAGTTCTTTGTAAGTTTCAGCATCTTCAAAATAACAACACTTCAAAATTTCTCTCATTCCAAGATATCCATCACAAGTCATCTGTTCTTCCCCTGTTATCCCTCCCCTCTTGCACTCATTTTCTTATCTTCTACTCCCCRTAATATAGAGTGAGTATATTAGGGCCAATCTCAGAGAGCAATGGCCAGAGGGCAGTAGATGGAAAAGACACTTCATTTCTCACATATCTGTGAGAAATGAAGGAGTTTCATTCTCAGAAGTGATTTGATGACAAGAGCTCATGCTGCAAGGAGAAGCTGTACGAGTGAGGGCAGTGAGCTGCACAGGGAGAACCTTCAACACAAACCTGTCTAGAAATACAGGATCTTAAACAGTAAACTAGGAAGCACTCAGTGTTGAGACAAAATTGAGCAATTATCAGGAAACTTTTTGCAGATGAAATGTAAATATACTAGAAAACATAGGGGCAACTTGGTTGGAACTCAGTAGAACAGTGAGAAGGAACATGTTAAAAGAGTTTATAGGTGGACACCTGCTCACAGGAGCTTGGGGACACAGGAGATGGTACAACCTGTTCAACAGATTGATTGAAGATTGGGATTTATGTGGAGGGAAAATAAATTCAGGAATCACAGCAGGGTTCAAACAAGCACGAGTGTGTGTATGTGTTGGAAAAAGCAATAATTGGAYAGTGATCCATCACCGTTTGTGTGAAAGAACCACCCACCACAACTGACATGGTGCATAAGATTATGTGATCAAGTAATAACAGCATGCAAAAAGCACACATACTGTTTAGCAGTTTAGACAGCGAAAAATCAAAAGAAAAAAACTTTGCCTTGTTTTAAAGAGGCAAGATGCTTTTGTTAGGGAAATGTCTAAAAATCATTTTCCTTCAGATTATCCGGGCAAAGTCTCCAGTGAATTCTGTCAAATTCATACAGAACTACAGCCACCAGTGCTGCTGAAAGGATATTAGTGAAATGAATTATTGCAGATGTGGTATCTGTCCAGTATTTAGTTAAAAATGAAGATATTCCCTCCCAGTTTTAGTAAGTAAAAGGAAATAAATGAGGGGTGGGGTGTAACACCATGTCACCACAACTGAGATATTCGTGAATATAGTCTCTTGAATATTTATTGTAATTGCAAAAGGAAAAAAACTTTCAGCAAAAAAATTAAACAAACAAAATTCACTTGGTATACAGAAGTCACATACAAACAGAATATCCAATGGAATACACATGGTCTCTACATCCACACAGAATTAAAACTGTCCATGTGGATTAAACTTGTACTGAACATTCAGACAAGAGCTTCCATGGATGTATGGAGAGGATTCACAAAATTTATCACCCAGCAGCATAGTAGCTAACATATTTTTAAAAACCACAGTAACTATATTGCAGTAAGAGTCAGGGGAGAAGGCACAGACTGAGTCTCACCCCCTCACAAAGGTAAAGATATCCTAAGCAAGTACTTCAATTCTTCTTCCAAGAACAGTTCAGCAAACAAGTTATTTTGAGGGAACCAGAACAGCTATATATTATCCAGGTAAGCATTTATCTTTGTGCATGTAATCACAGGTCTATGAGAAATTTTAAAAAAGTTAGGTAAGATTATCTGCCAGCCCTTGAACTGTCAGGTCACTTGGCAATAAAAAGTTCAGGGAGTCCTGTAGCAGGTTTTGTATCCCCTTTTAAGTGGTATCTCATAATAAGACTCTTACTCTGCTGTTCAGCAACAATTATGCCAAGAATTTGCTTTTTATATTAAGCAATCCCAAATTTCTGTCTCCATACATGTTCATTTCACTCTGCTCTGTATAATTCTGCAGAAATTTTAATGGCATTAGGTACAAAAAAGTGTTTTTAGGGATTTTTCATTGCAAGTCATTGTAAGTACTGTTGTGTGCTACTTAATGCAATTTGGTTTCTTTGCTTCCTCAGAGAATGTATTTGATGACATTCAGAAAGGAAACTCATGATACCCATTTCCAGTCAGCCTTAGAATTTCATTCTTTTCCAGATCAAGCAAATTTTAAAAAGGAAAACAAAGCAACAACCAACCATTGCCAAATCAACCTTGTACATTGTCACAAAAATGTGTCAGAGCAAACTAAAAATCTACCTATGAACTTTTGARTGGGGTACTAATGAATATACTTTTTTAGGAACATTGTTTGGCAAAACCAATTCCTCCACATGGTCCACACTCAATGGCCTGTCTCTATTTAGCAAATTCCCAATGTAGATGACACATGCCTTTGAAACCAGAGATGTAGCAAGAATTTACAGAATGAGCTCCTCTGCAGACTCTGGGGGCACAGCTGGGAGCCCATGGTAGATCAGTGATTCAGGGTTTAAGGTCCCAAATGAACTCAAGGGTCTTGCTGAGTACTGATGGCCTTGTTCATGTTCTTAGAGAACCATAAGAATTACGCAAGGAAGTATGAAAAAATGAATTATTGGATGTCTCCTTTTAATTTCATGGCTTTCATATTCTGGCCTGCATTTTGTTTCCATTTGCACCACAGCTTTACTCCTAACAGTGGAATTGTTGAACTTTGGGGGCCATCTAACACAGGAGTGAAGAATGTGATCAGTATCCTAAAGGATATTCTTCCATCTTTAGGATCTGGAGAAGTTAAGAAACTTAGCTGTCAAAAATTACTAAAGGTCACCTTCCACTCTGCTGTTCTGCTGACTGTGACYTTCAAGCAGTTCCCAAACACATTAAACCAGGGCACCAACTGTTGTTTGACATGTCATCTGCAAATAGATTGGGTATTTAATATTTTGGGTAAGTGTTATGAGTTAACTGTATCAGATTAAAGAAAATATGCCCACATGATATTAAGTAACAAGGCAGACAGAGTACATAACTCTCTCTTAAGAATAAATACCTATCTCACCATAACTGCTGAGCTCTAAGAGGTTCTTTTAACTTTCTAACTGATTCTAGGGAACATGCTTTACAAATATAGACTGACAGTTTAGGAATGGTTTTACTTATTTTCTGACTGAAAGCACAGTCCCACTAGTGTTGGTGTAACATAACAATTTTGAAAAAAGGACACTCTAAAAGTAAAATTGACATGCACTTGCAGTAAACATACAAATATTTTTAACCATAGTCTTATATATGAAAAATAGTTTAAGTTACTTAAGATATTCTTTCACTACACTGGTAAAATGTTTACTCTATCATTTTTCTACAAGACGTGTACATTTACTAGAAATCTTAAGCCACACAGGCATCAACAGCTTATCACACATACATGATGCTTCTCCCTTTCACACAAGTTTATATACACTGAGTAAATAATTAAATATTGCACTTATTGGCCCATGATTCCTCAGTTTTGAGGTATTCAAAAATAGAAAAAATATCTATTTTTTATAACTTTTTTTTTCATGCAACATGTAAGACATTTGAAATCCACGAACACTAGYATATAGGTTACACATTGTGACAGTCCAACTGAGTCACAACACATCTGACATTACTGACAAAATACCAAACAGGAGTTACACCACAAAACATTTCATTTATCACTAGTTGCAGGTACATGTCAGAATTACTCAAGGAAATCTGTCACCAGGAGTGGTAAAAAATCTCTAGCTTTAATTTTTGTGTGTTATATGTGAACGTGAGGTTATGGAAAAATTAGGACTTTTGCTTTCCATCCAGATCAGATACCAATTACCTTATTCTACAAATGACAAGCCATCTACCTCTGTTGGAACCATGGATAATAAACCTATGGTCTTCCAATGTAACAAATTTGATTTTCAGCAATAGAGACAATTTATGGATAAATTCCACTGTGACATTTGGAAAGGTAGCACTGCATATGAACAAGAAAGGGAGGGAACTGAATGAGTATCAAAGATGTTCTACTGTGTATATGTGCATCTAATACATGTGTAGTCAGGAATCCTGCTTCACTGAACATCCATGGATAAACAAAAGAAAAAAAAACAAAGAAGCTGAATTTGCAAAGGAAAACTGCATTTACCCTTAAATAATTAAATGGTACAACTTAACACAATTTATTCCCCTATTGGCATAAGTGAAGGCATGTTGCTTTACACCCCCTGAGAGTTTACCTATGAGGACTCAAACTGATGGTCTCACATCGCTAAATCTGTCATGCAAAGAGCTAGACTCATAAATTGTGTGTCTATAGGAAACAGGCCAAGGAGGAATTGGTCTGTCAGCTGAACAGAAATTTAGTTGCCAAATGTTGCCAAAAATGCCAATGATAAAATATACATCTCAAAAAACAAATACAGAAAACAATAGCTGGGGAGGGGCGGAGTTTGGAAGGGTTCTCTTGGAACTGCAGCATCATTTGTCTCCTCTGAAGAAACAAATTTATAACCATCAAATGTAGAATTTTTGTGACTTTTTTCCCTAAAAATGGAAAACTCAAAGTATTCTCAAAGTTAGGATCAAACTCCACCAAATTTTGTGCATCCTGAAATAGCACTTCATTTCTAAAATAAAGAAGGTGCAGGTGGAACAGCTGAATATTCAGAGCTGAGCAGACTGGGAGGAAAATCTTTCAGACTGGTGCTCTGGAAAAGGCCACATAGATGTAGTTACTCAGGTAATTTTCTCCAGACATTACATTAAGTATAAGCACATAGGAACAAACAGTTCCAGATAACAGTCACTTACACAGCTGTTCAGAGAGAAAGAGTACTTTTTGACAGARAATTAGGCTAGTACATATATATTTAAAACACCAAAGGAATCAAAATTAATCACCATCACCAAAAATAACAGATACAGTATTAAGTCAGTTGCACTTGTAATCTGTGAACTCTTAAAATAATCAAAAACATGCATCTGAAAGTTCAACCCAGMAGGGCTGGTTAGCTGTTTGGCAGGTTTGTGCCAGAGACACCACAGGAATCAATCAATCCCCAGCTCCTGGATGCTCCCAAGGCATTTCCTGACCAGCAGCTTGAAGGTGCAGCAAGAAACACGTTGTCAGAGTATGGTAAGGCTGGTGCATTGCTCATGTACAGGATTAGCCTGCTGCTGTAAATTTTTGTCTAGATCATAACTTGGAAAATGGGTTGTGTACTATTAGTTCAGCTTCAGCTGGCACTGTGGAGCTCARGACCCTCTGCCCAAAGGCATCTCATCTCTCAGAAATTTAACACGTTCTCCATATCAATCACTCTATCTTTTCAAGAGGATAAATCTCAGCTGAAGAATCAAAGCCTACTTTTCCAAGAGTAGGTAACCCAGATTTTTAAGAAAAGGTCTGCTTGAACTTCCATGCATTTTCAATTTCAGTCATGATAGGATAAATTTGGTTTGATGGAACCTCAGCAGGTCATGGTTTCCAACCTTCTACTCAAAACAGTGTCAGTTGAGAGGGCTGAGCAGTTTTCCCAGGGTTTTAAACAGTCTTGAAAAACTCCAAGTATTTAATCTGAGCATTTTAAAAATTAATCTAATTCTGAACTCTGTAAAAATGTCTGAGTGCTAGTACAAAGTTTCTAGGAGATTTTGATACTGACTCGTTCTGCTGCTGTACTTCAGATGAGCTTTTTCCTTTTAACACATTTTTGGCACTCTAAGGAACAACATTACTCTGACAACTGCTTCTTCCAGCCACCACATCCCATACAGAAGGCCAAATATATGTGGAGGCCTGGGAGGTTAGTTGCCTCAGAAACATGGAGCAGAGGTTCTTCCTCTTATATTTTGCTGTAACTCTTCTGCCCAGACTCCTGATGCAAAATAAAAAGCAGTTAATCCCCTTTATGTAATGAATTAGCTACCACTCAATTTGTTTAAAAATATATATGCTAATAATGTATTTCTACCACCAATTAAGAGTCTAAATGGTCATAAGCAGGCAGGGAGGGTCTAAAATTCATTGCAAGGGAATACAAGCAAAGTGTGGATGCAGCAAGGGGCATCTTGAAGCCCTTCTTCCTTGTTGCATTTTGCACAGGAGATGACCATTTCACAGCAAGCATCTCAGAGCAAAGCTGGAAGGATACTTGCACTTCTAGCCAAGCTGCATGATCCAGGATATGCCTAAGCTCATTGACAACGTGATTATATCTCTCCTCCCCTTGCCTGAGATGGTTCAGACTAATAATGCAACCTAAAATTTGTCTAAAGCACTTGAGAGCTGACGCATTCTGTCTCAAGGCTTTCCTGCTTTTTTTGTCTCGAGCAGGAATCACTGAAACAACAAGAAAAGCAAGGAAAACTTCCCACCAACCATCTCAAATGAAGCTTCCTCAACCTTACATTGCTTCTCTCTTTTCAGATCAGTAGGTACCTTGTGGGTGAAAAGGTACCAGTGAAAGTCTCTCAGCACAGTTAGCAACATGCTATCTTGGCAGGGGGAAAAGCAACAACACCCTGGAGAGAGACAGGATCATGGTTCGGATAGCACATGCCTCTTTGACCTGGCTACACATTCGCCCTAAAGAGGAGGGTGCTTTCTCTTCATGGAGGTAAATCAGTCTCCATGTCTACAAGGGAAAAAAAGTGCTTAAGTAAACTAGCTAACAGGACAGACATGGTTTTAAAACCCAGACTGAAGAAAGAACATTTATTCACTTAAGTTTGGCAGCCCATGTAACATTCTCCTGGCAAATCCATTTTACATGTGTCTATAAGCCTTGTTTGRAAGTAATTTTTACTGTATCAGAGTGTGATGCTAATTAAATAATCTACATAAAATAATCCACAAAAAAGTAACCATTTTATCTTAGTGTGTATCAGGAGTTATATAAATTACTTTTAACAAACATAATCTGTACAGAAGTATTTCTTTGCTTTTGTGAGTCATTTGGTGTACCATTGATACTTCCAATTTTTGGGGATTTTTTTTCAGATTTATCCCATTGCTGACAGTTTAAATAATGTCAGCCTTGTCTTAAATTTTGTCTAATTGGAAAAATAAAACAATCAATGCTTCTTCAATTATGCTTTTTAGTTAAAGAAGGTCACTATGATGCAAGTAAAGCAGTCGTACAGAGTACTTCAGGGCACAGATATAAGAAATTTCCACCAATACAAGAGGAGTAAAAACGGAGTGAAATATAACTATTTTAACTATTTTAACTGTATCAAAAAAAGAATCTGTGTACTTTATTCTGCCATCTTCACAGCCTTTTGCTGAACTTTTGAGTGTATTTGGCCTAAGACTACGAATGTTGACAGGTTTTTACTACTCCTAAAGTTTTAAAAATCATAATTGTCTTGCTAAAATAAATGGGGGAAAAATGAGGTCAAACTTCAGTTCACTGACACCATCAGCACTTCTGCAACAGGTCTGAGTAAAAGGCAGACTTTCGTAGCCAGTGTGGTGGTAGCTGTCTCAGTGACTGAATGGGAAATTCCTGAAAACTGAAGCATGCAGGTTTGACAGCAATGTGACAAGGCAGTTTTTGGCTATGAACAACCGAGCACAATTATTTGTCTTTGCCTGACATAATATAGCACTATGTGGTTAATATCTCATGCAGGCAAAAATGGAAAGAGCTAGCCAGCCTTCCACTACAGGGGGAGGTAAGACATAACAATGGAATGAGACATTAAGTCCAGTTTCAGACAATTATTAGATAGACATGCAGGTCATATGTAAAAGTAAATACAATAGCTGTCCAAACAGGATCAATTATCTAATATCTCTGAGAGCCTGGACTGAATATCCACATCCAACTGGAAATTCACAGGGAATTTTTGTGGYTTTGGGCCCATTAACTAATTTCTTTCTAATTTCTGCAGTTTCTAGTCAGCCAGGCTGTTTAACATAATGAGTGTACATTTGCCAAGGCAATGTGCTCCAGCAATTGATCTGGACAGGATGAGGGATTGGCTCACTACAGGAATACTTCTAAATTCATTTTCAGTAAGTAAAATGTACAGCAGCATCAGGAAGCTTACTCAAAACACCCTGACCACTACCCTAAAGATTCAGCTAATATAACTTGAAACTCATGAAGCAAGAGACAATTCTATGCAAACATGATCTGAGGACATGACACCAGCTGAAGCGTGATGTAAAACAGTTAAAAGAGAAGAGAAGTTACTATATACCCTGCATGCAAAAGTCAGATTCTAAAATGTGGATCATCCTTTCAGGCTAATAACTGCTCCATCTCCATATGCATATTCAAACAGCTGATGATGTAAAACAAGACTGTTCTCTCAAATAAATCAATAAGACAGTGTAAATAAAGGCATATAGACCATTCACAGACACTCTGTTGGCAACAGAACAAACTGGAGCTGCGTTTGCTGATAGCTGCATTAGCAGCTGCAGTTGGGCTGCTGTGGAGGAGGGGTGTCCTTTAGCTGTGTGTTCTGGCTGCTGGCAGCAATGGTGGGATTCGCCTCCAGACTTTCTGACATTTTGTCACAGATGATATCCACAAGTCGCTCAAACGTCTGCTTGACATTAATGTTTTCCTTGGCACTTGTTTCAAAAAATTCAAATCCTAAGAAAATAAAAACAYATTTATGTTCTGTGTGTATTTCTGTATCAGTAATAAATACACCAACTTCTCTTGACCAAGAGACACTGAGAGAGGAAACCTGTCAGAGCACACATATAAAAGAAGAGCAGTTAAAATTGTAACACAATCAAAGTACACAAGTGCTATTGGCTTTATACAAAGCCTGACAAAGTCAGAACTRCTCCAAATATATTGACAAATTCTACTTTAAAACAGTTTAATCTAAAAATTGATACCTTTTTGAGAGTCTTATTTTAGAAATGCCCTATATACCCAGCCACTGGGAAGCAGTAATCTGCTGCTCCATCCCTGTTAMATTCTTCTGAGTATTATTCAGTTGGGAACATCCATTTTAATTTTAAGGTGGTGCCAAAATACAAGATCATGCTTGGAAAAGCACAGGAAAAAATCAAGCAAGATAAGGAATGGTTTTTGCAACTAGATGTTTACTAAAGCTACACATGAATCCATGGAACCAAAGGGACTCCCAACTCCACAAACCAAACCAATAAAAAGATACAGAAATGCACATAAGGAAGAAAACATCTTAATTAAATGTTTTTTAGGATAATTAATAGAAGGACTTTTTATCTATTCATTCCCAGAGATTTCCTGAAAAGCAAAAACCAGAGCTATCCTTAGCCCATAAGAAGCACTGGAGGTTTTAATGGAGCAGAGACAGCTGTTCCAGTCTCTCCAGAGACAGTTTTCCTGAGTTCTCTGCCTGCATTGATACTGAGTCTCACGTCCCACACGAGTCTCATTGACCCAGGCCAGGTTTGCAGCTTGGTGGTCAGACTGCAACCTAGAAGGCTTCTGCCAGTACTGGGTCTTCCCATGTGCTTGTTTCCTTTGCAAAACATTTGTTTTCTTCAATTCATTGTTCTCTAGGACTTTTCCCACATGCTCTAACTTTTTCCAGAGTTATGACATTGCTTACCTGTTTCCTGATAATTCAAAGCTTTCTTCCACTTCTGTCTTTCCACTGACTATGAATTCAATATTGAAACAGTTTACAAAAAATCTGATTCACTGGTAGTTCTACAAAAGCCTTTGCATAATTATTTTTATTCTTTCTGATTAAATCAGAATATTAATGTGCAATTACCACTGTCTTTAATTATGACAATAATCCCTGTAAGGAAATTTCAATTACTTGAAATTTCTGGCAGAAGGACAGAAAACAGATCTTTGTGGGTCTGGTGGTTTTGCTTATGTTTTTTAATGTTTTGTTTTACTCTGTTTTGAACGGCCACATGAAATTCAAATGCAACTACTTTGTCACATTAGTATTATGTATTCAATATGCCATCTAAACAGAATGTAATGTGCACATTCAGTCCTATAATGGTTTTCCATGCAGCTTTTGCATATTTGACTTCTACCCTAGAATTACTGCAGATAATTATATTTAGCTTGGCATGATATCCTAGCAAGCAGTAATAACCAATGTACAAAATCAACTCTGCTCTGAATTTCTTTTCATATTTTTAATTTATGTAAGGTGCCTTGGACTGAAGTGTCACAAAGTACTAAAATGTTTAAACGCAAAGGAGCTAGGCAGTGGCCAAAGCTAGTGTTCATAGGTAATCTAGATAATAAGAACTATAAATATAGTACAGGGATTTGCTCATACAACTTCTGTTAATATCAGGAAGCAGTGTAAGGATARGCTCACAGGTATGAGAATACATTGCCTTAAAAACTTTTCCATTCCACATTTTACTGAAARCTAGGAAAACTGTGCAAAATAAAAGATGATCCACAGAAACTGTATACTGGGAAATAATTTAAATCTATATGGTATTGCTTTATAAGGTTTCCTTGCACATTCCYTTTTTTCTGAACTAGAAGGAAAATGAGGAAAGCCAATGTAGCATCACTTGCTGGTGGCTTTGGCCCTCCTGAAGAGCTCCATGCAGGAGAAAGCTGYTCAGATCATTTGGAAGCTGCATGGGGGGAGGAAGATCCTCCACAATTTCAATATGCTGTGTTGAAACCCAGCTGCAACACTACCACAGCAACACAGTCAAGAATCTTCCACAACTGTTAGTGTCTGCTCCACAGGAAGCAGGAGGAAAGCAGCTGTTCCACAGGGGAGCACACAGAAACACAGGRCAGAAGTGACAAAGAGAATGGCACACTAAAGCTTTGGAGAAGATGATAGGAAGAACAATGAMTCTTAAGAACATTTATAAGTGGAAGTTTTTACAGTTATAAAGGTGGAATAATGAGCACATCAAATGATCATGAAATAGCAGATGTRGTATCTAGGTTAGAGATGTGGACAGAGAAAAGTAGAAAGTGAAAGGAAAAGAATCACAGAGAGGACACCCATGTCAAGAAATACTGTAACATGGCTAAGATCAAGAAAACAGGCTCCCTATCAGACTGAGGATGTTTTGCATAAGAAAATAATTAAAAAAAAAAARAAATTAGAGGCACCATTTTCCAAGTCGAATGGAGGATTACAGAGAGACAAACACAAACTCATTTATTCAAATAAAATACAATTGTGATGATTTCTATGGAATACTGGATACAATTTTGATGTAGAAGGAAACTGTAGCAGTGCTGGGTATCAGGCTCTGATGGTATTCCATTACCTAACCATTAATTGACTAGACCTTCTAAACGAGGCTTTGCTTCATAGATGAGACAGTGGACAGACCTGTGAGAGAGGGACTGAGCTCCCAGCTGCCTCCACAACTGTCCTGGCTTTGCTCAGTGTGGGGCTAGGACCAAGAAACCAAGACGGCTCCTGTGAGAAAGTTCTGGAAGCTTTCTCCTCCTTCTCTGGCAAAAGGAGCCCTGCCCTTTTTTTTTTTTAGGGCCAATCCATTATGGCTCTGATGGTTGATGCTAGTCAGGCCTGGGCCAATTGCACATGCTGGTTACACCTCTGTGATGATGTATGGTATTGTACTTAAGAAGAATTCAAAACAAGACAGAGCGCGGCCGCCATTAGTTTTAGGTTGTTAGTATCATCCCCTGCGCCAAGGGAGAACAGAGGAGGAGGGTGAGGAGATGTGAGAAAAAAAATGGAAACCAAAGATCACAGTAAGGAAGAAAAAGAAGATGGGCATTTCTTGTTGTGGTGCTCAACCATGGGGCAAACACTGTTCTCAAAGGTGACTGTCYTCTGTGAGAGACTTGTGAAGAGTGAGAGGTCCTGCATTGACCTTTGAGGACTGGACTGATCATAAGCCCAGGGAGCAGGGGAAGGAGAGAACCTTCCCCAATGTCTGGAGCCAGTTGATGCTTAGAAGAAACTGAGTTCTGCCAGGAGATTTGAGAGAGTGGCCTTGCCCTCAGAATGAAGCAGCCAACCTTGGAGGACTGATTCACTTTCTCCCACAAGACAAAGAAGAGAATCCCTTGCCATCAGCAGACGGTTTCTTGGGAAAAGACCTTCCAGAGCTCGGTGCAATAAGAATTCTTCTCCTATGGTGCTGGACGATAACTGTAATGAGTAGTCTGATCTAAGCTAAAACTTTCATTTCTGCCCCCTTGTGCGCAGGAAGGCATGGAGGGTGAGAAGGGATGACCTGGGAGAGACAGGTTCACAGAAAGAATAACAGGTATCTTAAAATGTCCATTTTTTTTCTTCTCCTTGTAAATGTTTCCCTATCTTTGTCCCACTCCCCAGTGTAGTAGTATTCTTAGTAGTWTTTAGTAAAAAATCTATTTTGCGACTTAAGTTATTCAGACTGTCTGGCTTTTTCTGGGGCATATTTATATCTTTCTCTCAATTATGTTATCTTATCTAAAAGCCATAAATTTTAGTGCTAATTGGGCTTCTGCTCTCTGCTCTGTGTCTCCRGTGGGGAGGGAACATCATGGGTGCTTTGGCTTTTGGCCAAGTTTAAACCACAACAACAACAAAGCACATGCTTTATCTGTACAGTCTTGGAAATTATCCCAAACAGCTGTGTATAGGCCATATGATAGGAACTATTTATATGCTTGAATGTACAGAAAAACACATATCCTCCCAAGAAGAGGGTGGTGTATACTTGTGAGCGCCTCCCTGGCAGCTCCTGCTGTAGAACAGATTCAGCTGCATGTGGGTAAAACACTTGTAGATGGACCATGGAAAATGTTCTCGTAGGTGCAGAAATGGTCCCACAGAAGAGCCTTTTGAAGCCCACTAAGATAGTTAAGAAAGCTTTGTGCATTTTCTGGTAGTCACTGTCAAAGCATTGTGGTATGTACTGGGCAAGTAGGAAGAGGTGRATTACAAGAATTCAGCAGAACAGGAGGTCAGAATCCGACCTGATACAGCCAAAAACACCATTACAAAGACCCTTGCAAGAGAGGCTCCTGTAGCCACCTGGACAGGAGCTGACTGTCCTGGGCAACATRTAACTGTTACCTTATGCAAGAGAGCACAATAAATCAGATTGGTTCTTTGTACTTGTTTGCTTGTTTAACCAAAATCCTGCCTGTGGAACAGTTTCAAAGAGTTACACAGCATTTTTCRTATCAGAGTGTGCCTGGAATAAGTACTTGGTTGTTTTCTTTCTGTTATGGAATATTTTGCAGATCTTTTTCCATGACACCTCCTTCTCTCCTGATTCATCTTGCAATTATTTTACTAATTGCTCCTAGACAACCTAAGCTTCTAAAATCCCTGTGTATGACAGCCTCACTTCTATGACTTTTAATACTTCAGGGTTTTTTTCCACTGCTCATTATTAATAGAGAGAAAAGATTTTCCATAGGGGTATAAGTGTGGAGTGAGGCAGCTATCTAGTGATGCCCAGGAAGCAGAGATGAAAGAACACCGTGTTCCCACCACCTGAGATGATCTGTACTGCTGATGTGGATGAGGCCAGGAGGACAAGATATTTGCAAAGACATGACAAGCCTAAGAGGCAAATGGGGAGGTAAGGCTGAAACTCAGAAAATCCAAAACATCAGTGTTGGCTAAACACATGGACAAAGTGTGCAGAACACATTTTAAATTAAATGTGTGTTTT